TTTACTATTGCCATTTACATTTTTTTCCAAATTTCAAATAAGTAGATCGAGAAAATTGTTACATTTTTCTATACCACTCAATAATCGTTCAACCAAATTAATCCGCATCAAACTTCCTGGATCCAGAACATAGTCTGCGTGAGTTTGGAGCTAAAGTCCAAGCGTTAACCATAATATCACGGGCAGCGGTAATTCTAATCCTCAACTGGTGGCTTTTGGCTAACATTCTCTCCACGGCCAGAATAAATTTTACAGGAGAATAAGTACATCTTATGGCTTTTGTTTTTATATTAAGGTTAGAAATAATACAAGTTTCAATGAAAAAGTAATTTTTGATTATTTACTGATGCTTCTACCGATCTTAAAATGAAAATTGCAGGTGATATTGACTCTACACACATTTGATCAATTGTTTCAAACAATCTACTCTGCAATACGCTGTCACAGTAGCCTACATGGCGTCACTAAATTTAATCGAGTATCATAAATTTCTCCAAGGAAGCTTTGACTTTTTGCAATCGAACCGATTCACCGAATGAGTTTTTATAGTCTTGTATGTTTGTATATTAGGGACATATATGAATTATGATATATATTATGAATTTTTCTATCATTTTGCATCTGTATTCAACTAAATCTTATTTGCTGCTTAATAATCTCATCCAACTTTTGTACTTTATGTGTAATCCCTGGGTCACCTCACATTGTATTATATGATTGTTAACCTTTTGTTGGTGTTCCTCGTTATACCTCTGTTAAATGAAGCTTTCGAACGTCTTTCCCTCCGAATCATATATTCACACATAAAAGTATTTTGCGTTCGCACTGTTAATTGGAATAGCATATACGTACCATTGTTCTGATGTTTGTTTCGGGTATACATACGTTACGGCGCAAGAACGTTTGGGACTAAACGATTAGGCCCACTCTGGCTCCAACGCCTGGACGCATTTAGTGACCTGAGTTCAAGTTGTGCGCCATTTTGGTGCGCATACTTCAGGAGGTCCATAAATTGAGTGGGCTTCTACTTTCGTGTATTGCAATAACGCAATATTACTAGAATAACAAAACGCTCGAGTCTGCGTGGCGCCGGGACGCCTGGTAGTAGCATTTATCCTATGTATGTGAGCATTGTATTAGGATTTTCCTGAATGAAAAAAAGCCAATAAACTGGATGACAATTTGTCTGGTTACAGCCAAGTTCAAATGGGATTGAATATTTGCTGTAAGTACTCTGTATGGTTTATCCATCTCAATAACTGAATTATTATTATAAAGTTTTCCAGATAGCGAACATCCAATTAGCTCAATAATACTTCCACTTTTAAACCAGATTGCGTTCACACACATATCAATTCCCAAAATTATCACAATTTATATCGTAATCACAAAATTTCCTCATGAAATCATGATATTTCACCACAAAATTGCAGTTATTTTTTTGTATTTAATGTTTTGAATTAATTCATGTACGAAGTTCACATTATGTGCGCCCGCGAATAGTCCCGCAGTTCTGCAGTCATATTCTGTCATGTATGGGCCATAGTTGTGAGCAGGGTCTCATATATCAGCTAATCTAAGACTTCCAAGTAGTTTTTGATATGTCTGTACCTTAGGCTGTGTCTGTAAGTATTTATTATTCAATAAGTATATATGATTTGATAAGATAAAATTCAATATGATCCGTTGTGAATTATATTATTGTAATTTAATGATTGAATTTTAATAACAACTTCAATAACTTTGGAATTTCAATAACTCTACCTCTGATAATAAATACATAATTGCAATATTGGATAGGATAATTCTCCGAATCCATACGTCATTTCTCAAATGGGAAGTTCGTAATGTCAACGTGGAAATAATAATGGAAACAACCAACTATACTTGTTTATCCACAACCAATAGAAAGATGAAAAGTAAATAATGATTTTTCCTTTCAATTAGATGGATTGTAAGCTGCTATTTTCAAAAAAAATTATTATTTGCACTTGGATATAAAAGTTGAGTCCCGCCTTAAATTTAACAATTGCCTGTGATATCGATTTAGCTTTCAGTACGAACAAATATTGCGCTACTAATCCTGATAAGTATGTGGCAAGCATATATTTATAGGTTACTGTCACTGAAGTTAGTTAGTTACGAGAAAGTTCAGTTTCTTTTTTTTTTTTGTAATGTCATTTGCCATGATTATGGAGTAGAAAAGTTGATATTGCGCGCTTTATCGTCGCCATTATATAACAACTACAACATACAAACATCGAGGATAGTATAAGAAAAAGTTGGGATGTATGAACCAGATTTATTTGTTACTCATATAGACATACCGTAGTTCCTATATCATCATCACGATTACACTACCATAATGACGTCATAATAGCGGGTGAGAGAATATGTTTACCTACAAATATTTAATAACGATTATTCTTAGAAATATTTCGTAAGGAATTTTAACATTAGTAATACAAACTATTTAAGTGATCTAATGATACTCGCAAAGCATGATATAACTATGCATATCTAAAATAATATTATAAAATAACTATAACATATTCGTAAATTAATATATACGGGGTTTACATGCTCTCTCATTGTTATTTAATAGGAGATCTAATAGTTTCCAAGCTTCCCTATTTCTATTTTAGCATGGTAATTTTGAATTTACTTTTATGTTAATGGTATTGAAAATATATATTGAATTTTCGATGCTCCCGAAGTATGTGAACCAAGATGGCGGACAGCGGAACATAGTATGTGTACAAAGTTAGGGTAAAGACATAATTTTATTCCAATTTTCTTTATTTTAGTTCTATTACGAGTTCGGGGACTGGCCAAGTGACTTCCGTAGTATTTGTACCTGAAATTATGGCCTAACTCTAATCTGAAATACATACTACGTTCCGATGTCCGCCATCTTGGTTCACATACTTCGGGAGTACCGAATTCTCTGTTTGAGACTTTTATTGTCTCATTGTCGCGTCGTCACGACCCATCGGGTGACGTAATGACTTCAGCTTGCTGTTCATATATTTTCACAGGGCAAATTCAACACGGCGCTCACTCGAAACGTAGCCAAGCGTAAATCATTTGTGCTGGTTTTATTCTTTCTTTTATCTTATTGTGTACAAAAACTCTAACAAAGAAACGCTTAATTGTTTTTTTAGCTGGTAATGTGAATGAATTTAATGTGAAGTGATTGAAAACTTTTGAGTCACCATACTCTATTCTGAAAATCACGACCATTGCCTCAGGCAGTAAAGTGTAAAATTATGTAAATGGGCGTAATACAGTGTTGTTACGCACAACAAAAATCACATATTTGAAATCAAACAACTAAACATTTAGATACAGTGTCATAGTTTGATAATTCAAGCTGTCACTGTAACCGTTTATTCTAACAGGGTTGAATATGCAGTACCAGTCTGTGCATAGTTTAATGTAGTTGGAAGAAACGAGATGGATATGATCAGCAACGATATACGTAATCGATTCGTCCGCCATTGAGATAGTTGACGCAGTTCAATCGCCAAACAATCTTGAGACATCAATCGCGCAATGACATTCTCTGGGTCGTGAGGTACTAAATACAAATACTGATAAAAGCTTCACCAAATTAATGTATATGAACATGAGCGTCTTTCGAATTATGAAATTCTGCATAAATTGTTATAAAAGGTCTGCGAATACTATTACAACGAGAATAATTATTCAAAACTTAGGTTGGAATATAACAGTTTACGTCATTTTTATAATCCCACGTCCCTATTATCGCTCTGACTCACTTGACGCGACGTCGAAAACGAACGATTCTTGGATGCGAACAGGCGACACATTCACTGTAGGAAACTGTCAGATAGCGTTACACTGTCTCAATTTGTTTACTTCGCAAAATAAGCAAATAACATCAGTAGATTTACTGGTGAGATATATTAGAATTCAGTATTTTTTTATATCGTGGTTCTATAAGATTGTTCAGTGTAATTCTTGCGATTTACGCGTTCTTTTTTTTTAAGTTTTTTCAGATTTATTAATTCTTGATGCTGCTTTTAATGAATTCGCTGGGACAGATTTCAAAAAAATGCACTACCTTTATATAAATGCATCGCATTTGCTTCGAAAGTAGAAAAGCATTGTTTTTATGTTGGTCTGCACGCGGAAGAATTTCGTCGTTAAATTTAGCCGATTTTGGCACGCCAGCCGAAAAAGGTTGCCCACCCCTGACCTAGACAATATAAAGTACCTAATGCCAATTCTATGATCATAATTTCAAATTATACATGCACTGAATCCTTTCAGATTGATTTGAAATTTGCGTCCCCAATATTTCTCAAATCGTTTTGCTTGACTTAGCTTGATGATGGATATTGTATTTCATCATAATTTAAAATTCAAATGATAATTTTTTGGGAGAACATTTATTTTGAATGTACCCTGTAAGCGATCGCACGGTGATTGATTAAAATGTTTTGGATGACATATTACAAAAGTATTTATTGTTCGTGCAAAACCACAAGACCGCTATATATGTACGTGAATGCATTTGATATCACATAAATCAACCACACTGCCTGTTCGCGCAATGATTTGTGTATAGCCATAATAACAGACCAAATACACGTTAACGTCCGAATCGTTCTTGGCTGTAAACCACCAGAACAAGAAAATTGTAAAAGAGGAATCAAAAATATTCCTCAACACTAAATATAGTAACGCGTTTTTGTAAATATGAAACAACCGATTTGAAATCACAATTGATTACGAGCTTAGATGGCGAGCGACTCGACAGAAGGTAAATAGTTCGAGCAGAAGTCGTGATCAGTCCGAGAGTGGTATTCAGCTATCGTACCGTACTTTTGAATTTAATTAAGACCTAATGTAGCGTGTTACATCTTGGAAGTATAAACTTTTTTATTTTGTGAGCACTGTACAAGGTTACGCAATATTCAGAATATTATATATTAAAAATTTGAAGTTGTACCATGTAACAAATTTTACAGATTAATAAAGTGATATCCATAATGAACAATCATTCTAATGGTAATCATACTAATAGTGAAAGCGGAGAAGAGAATGGACTCATACTTATGGTATTTCGAATACTTGTCTTCGTCGTTGGAATTTTAGGAAACATGGCGGTGATATTTGTGATAGTGGTACTAAAAGAACACAGAAGAACTATTTCTCACTGGTAAGAAGAATGTATGCACAAAATAGTACAAGTACAAATTAGTTTTTACACCCATGACCAATGCTTGCAATCAATTTGTTTTAAATGGGACTGACTACACATGAAGATATCATATTCATGTGGCCAGAGATAGCTCCTGTCGTTAGATGTGTTGAACAAGCAATGTTGGACGCAATATAATTTATAGTTTCCACCTCACAAATTTGCTTACTGTTATTTTACATTTCTGCTCGATTAAACGACATAGTGCCAAAGACTGTTTTAAAAATAAATTAGCGGTTACAAAATAAGCCAATAAGCCAATAACCCAAAATGTGCGTCATTCCTTGGTATATCAAGCGTTGCTAAAATTGTTGTTTATGGGTTGGTATTGAAGATTTGATTTTACATAAATGATCAACTTATGGAAAGTTTGCGAACATAGGTGAGGCTAAAATATACTTTCTCCTGAGGCGTGGGCTAGCATCACGTTTACGTTTGTGAGTCGGACCTGGAGGCAGAAAACTTTTTAAATGCTTTGAATGTTTCATATTCTATATAATTAGACAACACATCTATTCAGATGTATACGGTTAAAATATATCATCAAGTACAACAAATACGTAGTCATTATCGAGAACATGTCTGAACTATTCGTTACGTAGTTCTGTTTGTATCCGCATTATGGTCGGTTCGTTCCTTAACACATCTTAATACAAGCTTTGTGGCCTGATTACTGAATACGTTGCTATGTTACAAAATTCAACACTTTTCAGTTCAACAATTACGCCAGATTTTAGTTAACTGTAGAGCAAACCGGCATGCCAAAATTTATTTGTTTATATTGAAGTTTGTGAAGCAACCTCAGTAATCTGCATTTTTAAAAACCAAAACCAAAATAACAAGATGTGGTAAAATTCAACATTAGTTAAAATAAGTGCCAAGGGAAGGTTATAAATAAAATACCAAGGTTTAATTTGAGTTTTTCGTCCTGCGGCCCAGTTGTGGGGATAGAAGCTTCCAAGCAACACAGCGCATCAGGGAGTGTTAATACCTAATCCTTAGTTCGCTGGTTGATAAAGTTATGCTTTGACGTTTGTAATCATAACAGACCAATGCCAAGATCTATTTTGGTCCATGAGGATGAAAATATTGCTTTAAAAGTATTATGAAAAAGCTTTTTAACTTGATAAAATACTACTTTCAAGGTACGTACTTCAGCTTGCAATTGCCGATTCAATGTTTTTGCTTAATATACCGTTCAAAATAGTGGAAGACAGAAACGATGAATGGATTTTTTCAGGCACATTATGCAAGATGAAAGAAACAGTCCTGTTTTTAAATTATTATTCATCAATCTTGTTCCTAATGGTTAGTAAATTATAATTTCAAAAATATTTCAATCAATGTTTTGAATTATTACTGCAACTGCCTTACAACCTGTACCCGAATGTCAGAAGGAAAGAGATGTTATCACAGAGTCATCAACCTCTAAGAAGTCGCTGTTTTTATTACCATTGATTTAAATATCTTGCAATGGAAAATGATAAATTTCGACAACGACATATAAAAGAGTAATTTTATTCAAGATTGCAACTTGTGTATTCTTGTTCTACTTCGATTTGTTTACTTTCGTTTTGTTTTTTTATTAGCTGATGAGCATTGATCGTTATATGGCTGTTTGCCACAGATTCTCGCGTGTTGCACAAAGTTTACGAGCTAGACGATCTGCTTACATTATTACTGTAATTGTTTGGATGTTGTCACTTCTTCTGTGCATTCCAATCATGCTTTACAGCGATAAGCGTGGAATAGAACCGAATTGCCATTGCCAGTAAGTAATATCAATCATACCAATTTATTTCAAATTTTTACCATGTTTTAGTGTGTTTTATTCAAAAAGAATCCTAGTTAGCTCTATAGTTGTTACCTTAGCTTGTATTTGGGTTCTCTATGTAAAAATCGGTCGATAAATATGCATTGCACTTATGACTAAGTAAAAGTTTACCTAGAGTAAATTGACAGAAATCATTCACAAAATGAGAGCAAGGTACTGCTGACATATTCTTATGTAAGGAATGTTTATGTTTCTTCATGTTTCCAGTTTTCGCACTTTCACCAGCAGTTAGCCCACCATGTTTACCTTGGTGATAAATGGCCGCGGAAGTGTATAAAATATATCCATATAGGCGACATACATAGCTTTCTAATCGTTTTGTTAGAATGGTGGTCGCAGAAAATTGTTTTATATTTACACTCGACACTATATTTATTGGCGAAGAGCATTTTTAATTCTTTTCTTGCCAATTTTATTCGTTTGATGGTATTATGACATTTATAACTTCCGCATAGAAAATAAACAACCATCAATCCAATGGCAAGAATGCCACCAATGATAATTCCTCTCTGAAACCCTACGAAAAATGTCATTTTACAGTGAAATGCAGCAGACATTTATTAATAATCGCAAGTAAAACTCAACAAAAACTTTTACAACAATCGTGCGTTTTATGGTTTGAATTCAATCGGATTCTGGATATTTCCGGATCTTGCTTAAACGGAAAGTTGTCAATTTCACGATACAAGCAATACAACTTCGGCCCTTAGACGTTGTACAAAAAAACTCTATAAGAAGTAACCGTATTGCACTTAGAATATTGCTCAATTATAATTCGATTCACACTGCTTATTGCAATTCATATAATATTTATTAACAGTTATGCGTTTCCAAAATCTTCAGAAGAAATATGTGAGCTTGAAGGAATGTGGACAAATATTTCTCTGAGGGAAGAGTGCTTAAAAAAACATTATGAATCAAAGAATAGTGCAAGCTGCGTAAAGCTTGATTGGAATTATGACAGTTAGTGAGTAAAACAATTTTTACCTAAAAACTTTTTACCTAAAGTAAATATTCAAAATACGTAAAACATTTCAGCGAAGAATATAATGATGATTATCATTATGATTATTACGATGATACGGATTATTATGAATATGGAAGTTCCTCTGAAATACCAGAAGATAGAAGCGAAGAGATTATTCATGAAATGGGATGCTCATATGCAGCGAGTGGTCAGGCTTGGTCCACCTACCTAATTTTCAACTTCGTCGCAATGTTCATCCTTCCTTTGTTAGTGAGTTTTTCAACGACTGTCTTTATATTTCATTCATGCTTGATAAAAAACATTTTGTGATATGCTAATCGTCAATCTCAACCAAATTGAACAATTTATAGAGCAAAGTGGGCACTTACTATGACACTTACTCTGGCACTTACTGGTGTGTCTGTACTTGCTCCATTTTGAACAAGCTTTTATAATTTTGAATACCTGTGGTCTTACAATTGCCTAACGTAGAAAGAAAAATCAGGGATTTGGTTCAGACACATTGCTTTAAAACAAACGTGTCTTATATTTTTGTCATTCCATTCATGCCAAATGTGTATTTTTATTGAGCACATAGCCAACCCAAACGCTTTATTTCATGATCTATAACTCGGTCCACTTGTCATACCCTAACGGTTCATACGATGGAAATTATCACACGAGTGCAATTTATCCATTCAGAAGCAACTTATCTCGATATTTCAAGTGTTCAAAAGTAGATTAATTGGAATTTTCTGTTTCATATCAAAAAATATTTATTTTCAAGGTAATGTCAGCATGTTATTCTTTGATCGCTTTCCGTCTGAGACGGTCCCGTATCCGCCGTTCTACATCAGCCAATGAAGTAGCTGGTGTTGAGTTGACAGAACTTGAGAATGAGCAGAGAAATCGAGAATCGCCAATTGGAAGAGTTCAAAATGAAAAAAGTCGAATACGCATCACGTTCACATGTTTCATTCTTGTTTTATTATTTCTTGTGTGCTGGCTTCCGTTCCACGCTGTGCATTTAGCAAAAATCCGAGGCATTCCTGGAAAATCTGTGAGTTTAATTTTATTACACATTGTGCTCTAACTTAGTCCCTTCAAACACATTCCACGAAGGCTTTACAACATATTGCTATCCCCTATTCTTAGTTGGCATGAAAAGTAATTAGATCATTATATTTCGACGGTATGGTTTTTCCAGCAAGCAAAACTGATTAAGTTTTTGACTTTATCTAATCGTGTCTATACGATCAAAACTCAAACGCAAAACAACGTGAAGCAACGTTAATTATTCAGCTCTCAACCTATTATTCAGATCTTAAGCATAAAATAGTTTCAATGTATGATAATGTTTAAAAATAATTCTATCTTCTAGAGCGAATATTGTAGGTGGATTGCAATGATATCATCTTTATTTGGCTATGTTAACTCCGCTATAAATCCATACGTTTATAATTTTATCGGAACAAAATTTGGAAAACGATTCAGGTATTTCTATATACTAAATCACATATTTTAGATATTTTCTACTTTGCAAACGCGATGTATACATATATTCAGTTAAATTGACAATGAGAGAACCAACTCGTACATGTGATTTATATGTGCTTCAAGCTGACTAAATAATCACAACTTTATTTCACATATTGGTGCAAAAATCTTTTTTTTTTGCTTTTTAGTCACTGTACGCAGAAAATAAGGCATATAACGATCGATGGACATTTTCATTCAACAAATAATATGATTTATGCGATGTAAATACCAATTGTAACATAATATACCTACTGCATTATTTTTATTATGGTCGATTATATCGGTTTATCTGGATTTAGATTAGCCGTAAAGATGATCAGAACCTCAGTAAAGAAAAGGACAGTATCTTCTTCGCCGGAAAGCCAAACGGTACGCTACACACCGGGGAAAACGACTGCAACAACGCAAATTTATATAAAAGAGTATGGAATAAACACCCCAAAAAATATTTACATACCTTAAAGTCTATCTTTGTAGTTTTGTTCGTAGAATATGTAATATTTAAATTTTAAATGACTTTCCATTGGACATGAAAATAATATCACAACTGTTTTACTTAACTGCAATGTTCATTAGCATATATATTTTAATATTGCCTTCAAATTCTCTCCAAATATAATAGGTTTCGATCAATTTTGAATTGTATTACATGCGTGCAAACGATTGCCTCAATATCGTTGAATGATTATTTTAAATTGAAGCGCTAATTTTCCACAATTTTTTGGCGTATATTATTATGGAAATAGAGAAGATGAACATTTATAATTTAATATCTACTTTCAGGTCACTGTTGAATTTTCATACTGAAATTTATAGCTTCGCCTGGGAAATCATTTTATTTCTTGAAGTTTTAAATACGTTCGAATATATAATTTAATATTAAAATTTCTAACTACGAATTTACTTAGGTCGGCTTTCCATTTCAGAAATATTGAATTGAAAGCTATGGACGAAAACTTGAAAGTTGAAACTATTCAAGAGGAAGAACAAGATGATAGAGAGTCCTTGGTTTCTTCGACCTGAACAAGAATAAAAAGAAAAGCAATTTTTTTGAATCACAGTGATTAATGCGGTGACGATGACTATTTATGCGAATGTATTTGAAGGTGCTATACTTCAATAAATATGGCATTTATCATATGACTTTTATTTATCAACAGGCACATTGGTGGATACCGATGAGTATTTGGTTTTCCGCTGTAGATATTTTAAAAACGAATGGCCAATATAGATTAACTAAATCGCGACTCTGGTTTGAAGGTATTTTACCAATATAGTCATTGGCGATGCTAGATTTGTATGGCATATTTGTAATTTTCCGATTGTATGATTATCCATAGAATTATATAAAAGCGGAATCAACTATTGATATTTGCACTTGAATTAAATCTGTTTTCAAATATTAATATAAAATATATTTCGAATGTACTAAAGCCAATGACCACTGTAATTTCTTTCATGTTTCACTTTCATGTTTTTTCTTTCTATAATCTGCAACTTGAAAATACCAATAAACATTACCATTACATAATATCAATTCAATCACAGTTCTGCTACAATTGACCCATGTTAGAACACGTTGCTGAGTACCTCCGTTTTCCCCTGCTAAGCGTCTATTGGGTATCTAAAATAATTCCTATTTTGTAAAGTTTTGTTGAATCATACAATCTTTTCATTGTTAAGTGCGCGTGAACAACGAAGTAGATAATGGGCGGCCAGTGATTATAGAATTCGAGTATATTTTAGATTCACCATCATCAGAAACAGTTTATTCCAACCGCAGATTATGATGATGATTTCGATTTGGACCTGTATTCTTTTTTAAATAAGCTCAGATGATAAAAAATGTGCTTGGACAATATGGACAATGAAGGTGCGTTTGATGGATTGGCGTTCTTTAACGTTCAAATTCAATCCTTGACTATGATTTTGTTTTTATAAATTCTATAAAAACAGCTTGTTTTAAAATTAGAGCAAGTTTTGAGGGAATTTTTTTTTTGTATCTTTTGTATATTTCATTGAAATATTCCTTTGCATTGCCGTGAAACTACAGAAAAATAGCGCATATTTAAAACTGCGCACGCTACCATGATAACACTTTAAAAAAATGTAGAAAAAAGTTTTCACTTCGACTTCCACTCTTACCGGATAGCTTTATTGCCAAGTTAGTACCTACACCAAAGTCATAATATTTTAACAGCAATTTTTACTTCAGAGAGATATCAGAGAGAAGCTTTAATTGAAAAAGGGCAAAATACATCGTGAAACATAGCTCATGGAAATGATAAACACAATCCAAAAGCAGCTTTGCCTAAATCGCCTAAATCTGGAAATACCAGTGTGTTATACAATATTGAAGCATTTATTTAGATTTGTGGCAATCTACGCGGGCACGTAAGTAGGTTCGAATCTCACAAGGGATTTGAGTGTGACAATGTGCGATTGGAATACTGGACTTCTGACATCGTGAGATAGTTTACGTGATGGCTTGTCGGTCGAGGCTTCGTTCGCCAACCACGTTTGTTGACGCGTTGTGCTGCAGCTTTGGTTTGAGAGCTCATTATCACTCCCCCACTATTCATAAAAATTACCTTATTCATTTAATATCTCATGAATCGTTAGCTAGTATTGTGCGAAAGTCAAGTCGCAAGTGTCCACTATCTTATGCTATAGCAGCGGTTGCCAAAGAATATTAAATCACTCGGGATTAACAAAATTGTGTTAAAGAAAACTAATATATGATAAATATTTTACATATAATTCTTACTAAAGAGTTTTAATGTTTACATAAGAGTTTTAATGTTTACTTGAAATGCTGTCAAACTGGGCGATTGGGGGCGCTGACATCAATACGGGAACTCACAAGAGCTGTCATATTTTATGTCGTTTACTCCTATGCTTTGGTTCAAACTAATTTGCTTGTGATTTCGGTGTTGGAAATTTCTCGCTCAACGTAGGTATTATGACTTTTTTTTAAATCCGTATCGTTTCATGATAACACTAGTCTAGCGCATACGGCATATGCATCCTCCACAATGCACTTCACGTTTCGTTGTACTGTATTGAATCCCAGCTTCATTTACTATAGGGTTCTAAAGTGCTTTTAAGCGGTAGAGTAAGTCCAACACCCTTATGTTATAATTTTGGTTTTGTTAGGAGAAATACGTGAGAGCTGGGCATCTGATTGAACTGACGAACGCCAGATAGGACCAATTTCCATGCTGCGACTTAACTGGTTCATTTTCATCTTTCGTGTCATTGAATAAGGCAACATATGTAATACATAAATCGGCAAACGGCAAAGATCTAGCTTGTAGTTAAATCATGTTGTGTCTGACATTGTTTAATGTCGGTTTATCATTTGTGTTGCGTAAGTTCAAACTGTCGAATACAGTGACTAAAGCAGCATATTATTTGATGTATATTAAAAACAGTATTATACAGTGTGGTCCCCAAAAACGCCTCGTCATTCTGGAACCACTGCTGGTCACCTCTATCAATCCCTCAAGTCATGGCCAGATTTTTTTCGGCTCGCCGTTTGAACTCTTTCATTTCCATGTTCTGACAGCAGAAGGTGCGCTCCAGCAGAGAACTCAACGAGTGGTTGGAAATTTTGCAAAACTTCTGAGTATATTCATAAGCAAACCGCAGTTCGAGCGCAAATAAAATTAAATAATTTTTTTTTGAGATAATTAAGAAATTTTTGGTTTCCGTTTTCGAGATAAATGGGTTTATAGTTTCAAACCCATGTTCAGACTTCCAGTGTTCCATCTTTTTGGCAACAGAATGAAATTGAAAGATCCTCACGTGTGAGATCGGGTCAAAAATTTCTTTATTGCTCTTGCCAGCTCAATTTTGGTAGAGCGTATATTTAGTGCAGTGACCCCACTTTTACAAGAGAGATTCCCTCGACAGTGTCAGACGAGACTCAAGGCTGTTTTTGACTGAAATGAAGCCAGATATTATCAAGGTGGTGGTATTTCACCAGGCTCAACCCACACATTATACTAATGATAAATGAAAAATAAAGTTTGCTAGTTAAAAAGTCGTCCAAGGGGGCGCTGACAAAAAAAAAGTTTGGGAAACACTGATATATAAAAATAAAATTTATATATATGTACAAAATATGAAAGTCAGACAGAAAGCGGTCGCATGTTTGATATTGTCGTCATCTTCTCATTTCGTTTCTAATGCTATTTATTTATAACAAAAGAAGTAAAAGTTATACATTTTGAGAAAATGTAAGTATTGTGTGGGCACTAGTGAACATTAATTATTCTGTAGGATAAGATCATGTTGCTCACTATTGATATATTTTTGCTTTGTTTTAGGTCAATGAAAATTGAAATGTAATCAATAGTATCGATGTCGTTCGCCCCCAGGTCCTATTGTTTGGCAGAACAGTAAATTTTCGTAACTTAGAAGGCATACAAACAAAATGTGTTTGATTACAAAGCAACATAAAAAATGAAAATGAATGTAGCATCGCCAAATCAACTTCAATTAAATATTTTACAGTACATCATATAATGAGTCATAAACGCAAACGTGTGGAATCACAGGCTATTTATTTACTCAGAATTTCACAACAATTTTTTTTGTTTTCGATTGTGTTACTGAATCGAAAGTCGCATCAGTCGATTTTTGTTATGCTCGAAATAAGATATGGTAGGAATCTTACGAAACATGATCTAGTAGTCTAATGGATATTTAAAAAATATTTAAATTGTGATATATATTGGCTATTCAGGTCGTTTGTCTGGTTGTTACAGCCAGTATTGATCGCGATCAGGTTAGATCACAAATTTTAAAGTATATTGTCAAGCCAATATTGTGATACTAGTCTGTCTAAGTAAGCACGCATAATCAAACACGTCTAAGACTCGTATCGCGATACATATAATCAGAACTTATGAATGAATTACCGATAGAGCTCCTGAAGAAGAAGTTCAAGAAAGCGAAGAAGAGATGTTTCCAAAAATCAGAAAAAGAGTATGGCTCTAAAATTTTTCTACCGAAAGTATCAACAAAATCATTCTCCGGGGTATTACACAAACTTGAAAAAGCACGCCTAAAAAAAGTAATCCTCGAAGGATGCTTCAAAAAAGATTCTCAGAAGACCTTGGATGTTTTGGAGTCCTTAATTGCAAACACCAACATAGAAGAAGTGAGATTACTGAAAACAGGGCACTCCTCGTGTGTTATGGAAATAAGTTAAAAAAGCTTCCCTGGTTGATAAGTTTCAAAATTTTGATATTATAAAGCGACCTAAAGTCCCAGAATCGTTCCAATTTACACATAAAGGTTGGAATGAAAAAAAAATTGGACTCTTCTCAAATGTTTCGTATCGTATATTCAATGAATAGTCAAAGCAGAAACCGTTTTTGAGATTATGAGAATCACATTATCACGAAAAATATCGCAATATAATCGTTGATAACATTAGACATCGATAAAAGGGTACCTATTTGAGAACGTGATCTGTAAATATAGAAAATCAAGTAATTCAGCAATATAATAAGTAGAGGAGAAATAAATAATGTAACAGAAATGTAAATTTCTGGTGCGTGACAAAATATTGGTAGATATTATATTGCATCGGTAGACTCCGTTTAGGGGAAAATTTCACATGAATATTAGGAAAAATTAGGACACGGTGTTCGTTTTGAGATTAAAAAATTGGCTGATTTCATATCGACAAGTTTATGCGATTTTATTATTATAGAAAACAAACTTCGAATATTCTTTTTTACTTCTTTCTAATTCTTTCGAATTTCATTATTCTGTTTTTATTTTTCTACCCTAGTCAATCCATACCTGATTTATTACGTATTAAATTATATTTTGCAGAAATTGGAGTTGAATCTAAGTGGAAATGCAGTCGATGACTACTGTATTTCTAAGCTTTGTACTCTCATCTGCCAGAAATCAATTAAATCATTGAAACTAGCCAAGCTCATCAACTTCGATGGATTGCATTGCGCCGAGTTGCTTAAGACGGTTTTCAAATGTTGCAAACACGTGAGAAAATATAAGCTGTTATTATGTAGCATAATAATGTACAGAATGTGATCATTTAGTAGAATGATTTAAAACCAATAAATTTCATGATAAAATATCGATTATTGGACATGTAGTGGACATTACGATCATTTCAATATTATATTGTTCTTGTTCTTTGACACAGAATAACACACCTAGTGGAAATATTAAAAAACAGCTTTTCTCTTCGAATACTGGACCAATTGCTTTGAAATTTTCAGTGGTTTAGTGGTTGAAGAAGATTCCCCAGAAGGCTATTACTTTTATTCATTTCAAATATTTCTGTTAGCTCTGTGAGATTTGTTATTGTTTGCTATGACGTCATTAAACGTTCTGCGGACATCGGACGCCATTTTGTGTCCTACTGTACTGCTTCGCTTGGTGTGAATATATTTGTAGACTGTGATCTGACGGTACGGTAAACCGTACTGTACTGCGAACAGAAGTGTCCATATATTTGGGCGTAGCTCTCTTGTTTAGTAATATGAAGGTAAATATCACGAAATTAATAGGTCAATTGTATATCAATTAAATAAACTCAGCTTAAACGATAAAAATGAATTGTGTTAATTATGGGTAAAAATGTTGTTTACCAATTCCAATGCCAATCAACATTCAATTGGCAATATTGATTGACAATATTGATTCCGATCAATATTAAATTATTGGCGAATTTCTTTTTTAAAGTATTAAATAATGCCCTCATTTTTTTTAATTATATTCTAGTTGGAGGTTTTAGACATATCGTTTTGTGAGCTGAACTGGTTTTCATTGCGGTGGTTGGAGCAGATACTTTCAAACAATGCTGTAACCAAAAGATTGGTATTGACAAATTGCAGGTCCAGGATGGGTGATTTGTCAGAGGTCGATAAAGCATATTTACTCAGACACAAGGTAGAATAATATTTGAATGATTGATAATTAAACTGTTTAGTAACATTTACTAACTTTCGAAAACTGAAAAATACAACTTCAGACCCAGGTACATTCCATATAAAAAGCACAAATAGGCAAAACATAAGTTCTCTTAAAAGGGAAACTACTTTGCTGTGACCAAGACAACAAAACTGAGATAAGCATAAAACATTTAACATATTTTCTTATGAAATATGCCCCGGCAAAATTTAAATTTTTTATATCATAACCATCCTTGTTTAATTTTTACAAATTCATTTTGCAGCAGAAAAACTTGAATATTACCTGGTTCAAAACTTCGAAAAGCGCTCTTCGTTTATACTATGAACAGGTGAGACACCAAATGAAATATATTTAAAACAAACACCTTTATTTTTTATTTAATTTTTATGATATATTGTCAATTATAACAAATAAATCGATTTTTTTTTCGAATATTACGCAAATTCGTATCAGATTTCATATGGTAAGTCGAACAACAACAATTCAGTTATCCTGACAGTAAATAGAGCCTACTTAAAGTCATAATATTGCATCTGTGAAATCATCTATTTTGCATAAACAGGAAATGGAAGTCCCCCTCGATGTCGTCAACAAAGAATTTATAAAAATAAGAAATCAGAAAAAAAATGAAAAAAATGCAAGTGAGTTAAAAACATTTCAATTGCTTTCTTTGTCCAATTGCAAAATATGTAAAATTCGATGCATAAGAAAATGAACAGTGGAATTTATTGTTGGATACACAGCTGGATATATATATTAGCTATCTTGAATACAAAATTAAAATTTAGTTGAATTGAAATCAACCATATTGTGATGCAATTTATGTACTTTGGTCATTTGTATTTTTTCTGCCTTTTTACAGGTCGGCCAGTGTCATTAGATTCTGGATATCTATCTTTGAATTCCGAGAGTAAGCTGAGATTTTACATCACCTCATACTAAATCATATATAAAAATATATAAATATTCTTCAGAACTAAAATTAAATTATTCAAAGCGTACTTCGACTTCCTAAATATGTAAATATGGATGAAATTTTCTCATTCGTATGAGTGAAATCTTTTTATATATAGTGAAACTCAAACTAAAGCTATATGTAACTAACATAATTCCTCAAACGTAAAACACAAATGTTTTAAATAAAATATCTCTAACAAACCATGCATACATATTTTTTTTCCGTCCTCACACTAATACTATATTACTTTTTTTATTCTTTCTCTCATTTGAGGAATTGTGGAAATTGATTGAAGTTTAGATTGTTTTGCTTTCTGACTTCCATATCGCATACTAAGCTATATACTCATATGCAATTATCAAACGCAGTCTGTATGATGAATATTTAACGATAATGAAACACAAAACCTTATTTTACTTGTTTTTAGAAAATATTGATATTTCAATGGGAAGTGTCGATGATGTGGCATCAACAAGCACCGCTCATAGTAAAATGCGGATAGGTAAGTGAGAATAACTAACGTTAGATAATATATATCTGGATGAATATTTATAGGACTAAAATATATTTCAGACAAGGAAAAAGATCACGGAAAAATTGATGAATACAAAAATAAACTTGTCATGGCAAGCAACACAAGGTTAGTAAATGCTTCCTCAATTAATATGATTTTTATTAGAAATTGCTATATATTGCTTATAGATTTGCCTGGGTCCAAATTATTAAAATACGCCGTAACTGAGTCTTCTTTGCTTCACTGTCTTAGCACAAACGATACTTCATAATTCAAGAGCATTGGTTTCCAACCTACTAACGACCCCCTAATTAATGTTAGGTGTGGTGCGTGGTATTAATCTATCTTTATCACAATTACCTTTTATATAAAATACTCAAAACTTATTGAAATTTAACAAAAACCAATCCAATATTTGAGTCTCATCAAGTAGTCAATCAAAATATAGCGAAATACAAATGTCAAAAACTAAAAAATTTTAGTGATGGAGATGCGATGAATGAAGCTCGGCCCAGCACTATGAAATACCCAATGACTACAAAAAAACCTCAAACGGTAAATTTTCTTCACCACCAATTAAAAAGATATTAATATTTTATTTATTTCAAACTGTTTTTCGTTGTTTAACTAGCATTTTTATGAGATTTGAGAGCATAGTCTTGCAAGGTATATTTTTAAGACATGTAATGTTGGAATAGCAATATCAAAATATCAGTCTGTTCCAGTAAGAGGGTATTGTAATAGAAATATTTAGAAATGTTAAATTACACATTATTCAGTCAAAATGGTAAAGCTTTTCATTTTCATTCGGGATCAATCGAAATGAACTCTATTATATACTGCTCCATTTCCAAAGAATTCATAACAGTGTTGGCCACATAACATTCCAATTCGAATAGAAATAGTTTCTTGGAAAATGAAATTTGGAAAATATTATAAAAACTATTTTGTCTGAATTTCGAAATAAATTTGTTAATTACACTTCTATTTTTAGTCAGGTTTCGTTGCCCTTCAAAAAGATATCTATCTAATGATCTAATCTCGAATTCTATTTTAGGATAACGAAGATTTGAGATTTCAACAGTATGAACATCAATTGAAGTGGTTAGAAACAAGTAAGCTAAAAAAGAAAAAAATTTTTTTTTAAAAATATGGTTCATGAAATTACCAAGCAAAAAAGAATTCGAATTGCAGCTTTATTTCTATTCTAATTTGTTCGTGAACAGTAGTTATGCATGAAGTGACAAAATTTTCTATACTATTAATTAATTTTCAATTTATACAGAAACAAAAGTTACGGTGGAGCCAAAACTAATATCTGTTGGAGACTGTCGAGCGTGGGTAACCCTTAGGATTTTTTCTAATCCAATGCATTTCGAGATTCCCTCATACTGGTTACCTGTAACTTCAATAATAGAAGTAGAATGTGATGGAACGCCACTAAAATCGGCGTTCGTTTCCATGCCGTCATGGTTTATTCCCGTTAGCGATCAGGTGGAAGTATATATTTTGAAAGGTGAACGGACACAGACTCGAAAATTTAATTGGAGTAAAATGAAAAATGCCCAAATAACCCGTGAAGGTGTCCAAGTACAATTGGATCATTTTTGTTATATAACTTTTGCCATCCCTGTTGACAAATCTCATTTAGGCGCTATAAAGGTAAATCACGCCTTGATACAAAAAGAAAGAATTTTAAAGACAATATTTAGTAGGCCTGTTGATTCAGAATTTTTTAATCTTCGCCTGGAGTTGTGGGGTAGTTCTGACTACAAAATTCACATTATAGGTTCATTTGAAATGAAACCGAGTGCTGAGTCTGTTTTTGTGAAACTACAAATCGAGGATGATGCCGTTGGCATCGAACCGCAGGAGAATACGTTGTTTTGAGAAAAAATACAGAATCTGCAGAATGAGACCGAGGTATTGAGTTTTCGAACAAAGGTGCAGATGGAGAATGACGGAATGAGTGTGGATGCGACTTACTTTATTGGCGAAGAGATTTCGGAACTCATTGAAATTAAATTGCCAGGTAATATTATATAATTGAATTGCAGGGACGTAACCAGATAATTTGTAATACTAAATCAAGTACACAAGTAAATTTTACGCGGAGTAATAAGAAATTTAAACAAAATTACGCTGCGTTTTTCAATGACACATTCTGCACTTTTGTTTATAGGAAGGCTATATACCAACAAGGACATGTAGGACTTCCTGAATAAATTATCTTTCCGGTTTGATAAACAAAATCTATAACACACAGGCTAAAAGTGGACTTCAAGCTATTCTTGAAAATTGATTGATTTTTGTGGATTGTATTTAGTCTGCTCAAGGTTTTTGCCCAACAGAGTAATTTAATTTAGAATAACAATTTAGCTTTGCTAAGTTCATCTGCTTTTCTTTTCTAAGTGTTTTTTGTTTAAAAAGCATTCAATGTGCAATTGGCGTAAAAGTCCAATCTTCAAGCCTGTCTTAATGGGTTACTCACTACGTTATAGACACACTTTTGAACTTTTTCAATCACTTTTCAGAAAATAAGCGTTCAAGAAAGCGAAAACGATCACGCGAGATGCCAAATAGCATTTTAAAGCGGCCCAAACTATCAGTTCATCTCCACGACACAAAGATATGTATGTTCAACTACTGTTTATTGTGGACTTTTTTATCATTGTTTAAGCGCTTGAAACGTCTAACAGCTCACCTCAAAATAATTTTCGGAACCTCAGCTTCAATTATTGTACCTGCTTCTTATATATATATATTGTTCATGTATGTAGTGTTATAAAGACTAATGTAAAAACAAAAAAATACAAAATTTTAACACTATTGGAAGCTGATTATTGATACAAGATTCCTATGAACATTGTACGGCGTTATTCTTAATGCAGAAGACCTAATAAGAAAAACAAATTGAATTTTTCTGTGACGAAGAGACAGTCATTTTTTGGTTTTAAGGTGCCGAGAATAATATCCAAGACAGAGCCAGGGTGCGAATTAGAAAAAAACACTGCTCTGTCATTGTTCAACAAAAGCTGTCCAGACCACAAGGTGAGTCAATTTATTTAAAAATCATTACTGTTGGAACAAAATTTCCATCTAGATAACACCCACCATATCCACAAAGTGGGCAGCAGAAGGTCATTAGTTTTTTGTCAGCTAAGCGATTAGCTGAGAGGGTTCGGTGTAGCTGGGGATCGGTGTAAAGGGTTAAATAAAAATTGCATAAATTTACCTATAAAGTAGTATTTCTATCATTTTGTTCCAAACTAATATAAAGATAAAGAATTCTATAAATAATATCCTTCAAAAATTTTGAAGTCGTATTTTGGAACATTTCGCATTTAGTTTTAAAATGCCAAATTGACTTGAATATTTTTATTTTCTTTTTTCGTGAAAGATAAATCTAAATCGGAAACATCGTGCGAAGAAATGGAAAACGATTGAAGGAAAATATCAAACTGCATGCATGTCATTTTTAATGATAGTACATATTTGTGCCTGTAATAAATATTTTTAGCTTCCAAAGCATACTTTTTGTAGTGATACTTTCAGTTTACCAATACACACAGTGCGTTCATATTTATCCGTTTGGGTTTTAACATAAAATACCATACTATTTCGATTATCGATCATTGCTTAAACTTATTTTGCTTTGCTCAAGTGTGTATATCAAATAAAGTTCAAATTCACATACTTCCTTATATATTCATAGTCTTAGCCAAAAGTATTTTTTCGAAAAAGGATTAAATTCATACAAAATATGAAAAAATTATTGCAGAAATACTGAAAACAAGAAGTGTTTGGTGGCAATCTGCTCATTAGGCGTGAATCATCCAGGCTCAAATATGTAATTTAGGTATAATAATTATTATCAGTTTCTAGAATGTATCGAACGGAAAACTTTAGAATATTAAACTTTTTTTATAATATATTCATGTTTGTTAGTCATGAGAAATTATTTCAGAAATAGCTAAAATGACCAAATTCAAGGTCATTTAATTGAGGAAAATCATATTTACTAGGATATATTCTTTAATAAAATACAGTAGCCTAAATAACCGATAATATAGTGTATTGTACCCATATATATTGGTAGAACTATCATCTTTCGGTCAATTCAAAATATATCATCGGTAAATGAATCATCGACATGTATTATAATACATCGTTAAATGAAAGTTCAATAATATCACAACTAATTTGGAGTATATATCTTAGAATGAAATATGGTTTGATGAACATTTAAGAATAACTTATTGGGTATTTGTAGGAAAATCAAACTTCACAAAATAATGTCGTTAATTCTACCAGGTTTCCTCATACCTTGGACTCTATAAATAGGAAGCATGTCGAACGCTCCATTTAGTCCCAACCGTCAACTAGGCTACATTTACAAACAATACACTGTATTAAAATTAACTTCTCATTGTTCAATGTCACGCATGTGAGAGTGACAATAGGGAACAACAATCAGTAGCAGCCGGCCACTTCATACAGTTGAAACAGTGGCAAAGGCGACAAAAACAGTTTTTTTTAAAAGCAAATGAAGCACACTTAATTAGTTAAAAGTCACAATACACAAGACACAAACCGATGAATAAGTCATCAACGCCAAAGCAGCAAGTGCTACAGATTCAGCAAACCAAGGTTGTCGGTGACCCATGCTCTGAAATGGTCAGTTTAATCACCAATTGCTACAAAATCAACAGAGGCAAAAACTTGTTTACCAGTCCGGGTGAAGCAAATACATTTAGAATACAACATAATACCATGTACGAACATTCCACGATAACGACAAATGTCGACACCCTTGTGCGTCGAATGCGTGATGCGAATGCCAACCAAGATAATGACAAAAGCCGAAAGGTAGAAATTACTAATCTTGCACGATTGTAAACAATCAAATGGGCGTGTAATAATGAGGCTAAATAATTGGATGATACCAGTGCACTATGCACTTCACACGCGGCATAATATATGAAAACAATACGTAAACGCTTGAAGAGTTGAGAAGACATCGGACTTAGTACTTAAATGCATATTATATAGATTGGATTATCTTTACCCACGGTAAGTGTGAACTCTGTAGAGCAGGGCCTCCCGACGTGGTCCAGGCGGACCCCCAGGGGTTCAGAGCGCGGTTACAGGCGATAAGATGCTAATTATATTGGAAGATTAGTAAAGAGCATGCATTTGAAAGATAATGCAGAAATGAGGCTCCATATGAGTGACCTTCCACGGAAATCGATGCTTGTGAATAACTAGCAGCCACAAGGTTCTCACAGAAACTTCTGTTAGTCTTTTTACCAATAAATTTTGTTACAGAACTAATAACTTAAATTTATTTCAAAAGAATTTTTGTTTTGGGCATCGGTACTAGGAAACCAGCGAGCAGCAGGTGGCAATACGTCCCTAATCTATGCGATTTGTCTTAGGGTTCTGAAATATTAATAAAAAATGAAATAATAAAATAATTGGATGAACCTATCATAACTGCACTAATTAAAGTGCTCTGAAAATAGAATATTTAAAATTGGAATAAATAAAATGACTTCCTGGCAGTCCAAAATAGAATATGGTAATAATACTCAGTATACTGAAATTAAATAGTTCTATTAAGACAGCATATGATTTAACTGGGATATCTGCAATGAACGACTTTGAAAATAAATGTGGGTGTCCACAGTGAAAAAAGGTTAAGAAGCCCTGCTGGAGAGGATACACTCAAGCCCATCGTATAAAAATGCATGAATGAAAATTTCATTCAATGGATATCATAACCCTAATTGAATAATATTTGCCATATATATGAAATTTTCTTATCCCTGAAAAAGGAGTGCCAGTAGATAGGGGTTGACACCAATCAGAAAATATCTAGATGTTTCTTTAGCAAAAAGAAACTTACAAAACTATGCCTGATAAAGAGGGAACCATAAAAAATGCCACCTGATAAAATTAGTTGGAAAGATGGTCAAAATATGACAATACTACACAATTGATACGATATTATGGTGAGGATAACGCAGTCTTGACGAAGTATGAAAAAAAAACGAGATATCTGAAGGCAAAAAGTTTAACAAATTCAAATAAATAAATATACTTCAAACAATAAGGCATATGCATGTCAACTTGTTGTTGTTGTCATTGTTGCTTAGTGCTTACCCCAAATAAGGGGGCTCTCGGCCAAAGTAAAAACAGTAAAGTGGTATGCAGTCAGTAAAAGATTGAAAACCACTGACTTACGCAGAACTTAGCTGTGAACTCTCTTGTACCGATTGTCGTTTGTAAAACCTAGTTTTATATTGGATACGATTGGATAAATTTCCACACTCGGTATATACGGTACACTCGCTTTATAGAATTACACTCTAGTAGAGTTGTTCCACTGTGACATGAAACTTCCTGTTTCACGTTAAAGTCGGGGTCGAGAACCCTTTTCAAAACGGGTGTCAAAATTAATTAACTAATCAGCTTTCGGCGGTCGTACAGAAAGGCTAGTTATAACGACGAGGATAAAAAAAAATATCATAGGTATCGGATGTATGTATCTTTTTATGAAGCATGTAATTTAGGTAAAATATATGCATGGCTTCATTCAAATCAACGTTCGTTTCGCAAGACGGCAAACAAATGTTGGTAAGTTTTTGACGATAAAGTATTTTGGCGAAGCTCAAACTGGCAATTCTTGCTAACACGTACTCTACCAAGCAGTAGCGAAATTCGAATCGTCACACGCATAAGCGATCGGCATGGCATAGCTCCCAACTGCGTGTTAACTGCTATATCAAGTTTTTAGATAAAATCACACTGGTTTTAGCGACTTATTGCGGTCAAATTTTATTCCGTTTACGTTTTGGATACTCTCGACAAAGCGGCAAACTAGGATTACGAAGTTTTCGACGATAAGGTACTTTGGCAACCCGGCAAAATATTGCCTACCGGCATACTACTCATCACTGGTGCAATTTGAATCGTTATATAAGAGCCACGCATGGCAACATTCCCAACTGCTCATTAACTCCTAAGTCAAGTTTTTGGATGATATCACATAAGTCTTTGCAGCTTTTTTGTTCCAAATTTTCCTTATCGCTGGCTATAGTTGCCTAATCCCGCCTGAAGCCAACGTTATTTGAGAATTCTAACCATGATGTATAATAATGTTGTATTTGATAACACTTTCACCGTGGTCTATAACAAGGTATTGCTACAATAATTTATTGAATTTTATACTTTTCCCTACAGCATTAACGAGCTTGGGAAATTGTACTTTATCGGGATTTTTCTCCGAAATCAAAGACTCACTCGAAATTCAAAGTCAATGACCCCAGTTTCGCCTACATTTCTTGTAGGTATGTTCGTCTTCATTTTAATTATCTGACAGGAGAGCAATTCTCAAATATTTGCACAATTAATGGTTTGCTTTTGATATAAATATTGTTGAAGAAGAAGGAATAAAGAGCAAATGCTGACTTCTGGATACTTTTGTATATTTAAAAAATGGAATCGGACTCCAACAAATAAAATAATAATAAAAGAAACAGAGATTAAGTATCGCAATGATATAGCATGCTGAAAAGTGAATTCAAAAAGTTTGTAGCCCCGGGATATTGGATTGTTTGTTTCATCTCTCACGTTTAAGCGCTTTGCAGTTTGCAGCGTTCAGCAACAATAAAAATAATAAAATAATGTTAGAAATATCACACCATTCAACTATGTTCCATTCATAAATCAAGTATAATCATAATCAAGGCTCGATAAACTCTTCAAGATAAATTTATTTCTAAGAAATTTTCAGCCTCAAGCTAATACACAAGGATGTTGCGGTGTTTATGTCTACATTAAAATTTCATATAACAGTCAGCGAAAACTTATTTCTGCCATTTTGATTGTGTTTCTCTGAGTTTCGGACTATTGCCTCTTTGCTTTACAATCGAATTAGCAGTTAAAAAATGATTTATGAAATGTCAATATTTTGAGGAGAATTATTGAAAAATTGCCGAATACATATTCCATAGAATTGTGTAAAATATAGTGGCATAAACTAATAATTTATTTTATTTTTACAGCGTTGTTGGTAGACACGTGTACATATTATGACAGAAAATTAAAAAAGACCCATACGAGCTTGTTTCACCCTAGCGAAACGTAACGCTATTAAATTTATGCATATGTAAAAAATTGATTTTGAACCTATTTTTATTACAATATTATGACCTCATTATCTTCATTTTAAATGTTTTGTAATTATTGTGTGAATGTGAATCAATATATGAAATCAACTAACGTAAATGACATTCGTATCCTAGTTTTAATTTTTCTCGGAAAAATAGAAATAAATTAAGCAATAAGAATAAGAGCAAATCCCAATAATGAAGTTCATATCCAAAGTGCTTATCGTCGCTTGCATTGTGATTGCTGTATCAGAAAATGCAGTATCGAATAGCTCTAAGAAAGCTTCCAAAAAAGGATCTAGTAAAAGTAAGTTTCTAGCCTTACATTTTTTATAGCAAGTTCTATATCAAATTTTGTCACTCGTTACCTATTCTTTAATTAAATGCGCAATTTAAAGTATACAAAATGCCAGTGATGATAGAATATAGCATTAATATATTGTAGTTATATTCTAAGCGCAAGCTTCATCAAAGATTGTTGTATTTTTTGTTCAGAACGAATCATAAATCCATGCGTTTTTCCTAAAAACGAGGGCTTCGGGTTAGCCCTTCTGCCGAGATTCTACTATAACTTCTTTCAAAAGCGATGTCTAAAGTTCTTTTATCACGGAAATGGAGGAAACCCAAATCGATTCCTGACTGAGGATCAATGCGAAAAAATCTGTTTCCCTACTTGTCTTCAGAGACTAAAACCCGGGCCATGTATAGCATACATTCCAAGATACTACCACAACAGAATTACAAAGAAATGTGTTAAGTTCATCTGGGGAGGATGTCTACCGAACAAAAATAACTTCACATCGCTTCAGAAGTGTAAGAAAAAGTGCGAATAAAATCTACCAATAACTACTCCCAGTACAAGTGTGTACTTTTCAAACATGCGCCACAAAAAGACGCGTCTTTACACAGACTGTTAATATGTGGCTCATGCCCGGATGTGTATAATTACAAGATTGGGTTGCTTTTGCTTTTAACTGTTTGCTTTCATGACGCTTGACGACGATTATGCCGTATTGAATTAGCAGCTATTTTGTGACAAATAAACTCATTTAAATCATTTAAAATATTTTACTACCCATAAAATTTTGGCACACAGCATAACGATCGTGTCTTGATTAATAATAGAGAAGAATCATTATATTCCACTTGCAAATTCTAGTCTAGTCTTGTCTTTTCTTTTTATTCACGATGCCAATAATTTTTCCATTCATATTTTTGAGGATATTGTCTAGAATTACTATCGATTTATTATGTACTTGAAAATTACATGACTTTATAAGTTTTACTGTGGTCAGAAATATATTTCTAAAAATAGGCTTTATAAATATCCAGTTATTTGTTTTATGTACGTTTATAACTGAAAGTAAAAATTTTGGTGTGCGTAATCGTCCCAGTGTGAGAACTGAATGTGTTTTATCGTATAGTTCCAACAGAAATTGATTTAATTAGCTATTTTATAAATCAGACACAGAATGAGTTTTAATAAAGAGTGTTTGAGGTGTATATGCCATCTACCACATTGCTTATGGTATAATTTTTGAATATAATTGGAAAATGTACATAACTAAAAGTTATAATTAATTTTGATGTAAAATACAATACCGAGTGATCAATTCGACTGTTTTCAATGAGTAGTCAGTGTACAACTCTATGCCAGAAGTCAATAAGTCCAGTAACTTATTTTTGAGTGAAGGCCAGATCACAAGAAGTTATATTTTATAGCAACTTGTAAATGCCATTTTCTGACGAAAAGAAACCAGTAAATCTTTTCGATAGATTAGGAATATTGTTGTCATTCTCCTTTCTCTTCAACTACTAGAATAAATTCATATTTCCATTATTAAAAAATCGAGTACATAAGGCCATTTATTATGAGTGTTTCAGAGTCGTTTAGATTATTGCTACATTATCCTTACAACAGTACATACGCATTCACTAACACAAAAACGAAGAGAAAGTAGTACTAGTTAGGTGAAGGCAACCTAAGGCTCGTTTTCCCCACAAATTTACTGGTTTCACAAAGATTTTCCATCAGTTTTGTGCCCATGGTGATCGTACCACTTTCGTCTCCATATCTCTGAGCATTGCTATGTTTCAAGTATATTGGAGTAACAAATTACAAATTTGAGTTTCAAAAAGTTTTTCTTCAAAATAAAATAACTTCTATTGCAATAGTGCAAAACCTGGCTGTCGGTTTCTATGATAATACAGTATGACGTGTTCCGTATAACGAACTGGAGATTATGTATCCCCGTTTTCTAGAATTTTCCAAGTTTCATTTTTTCATTAATATAATTATAACTGCGCAAATGGGGTTTGTTTTAGACACGTTATGGCGTTGAAAATTTGCGGGCCTCAAGCCATTTATTTCATATTATATATGATAAATCAGTTCCTTTTCGTTGGCTCTCATACGCATTCCCAATTCCCAGTAATGCGATGAGTTTTTGTTCTTCATATTCGCATTGCTGAGAGCTTTTTGGTTGCAAGTTTAATGTGCACGAGCAATAATCTTCAGCTTAAAGTAAAACCAAATTTTCGCTAATCTGTTGTTAAAAATTTACTTGCTTCTACTGATCAACCTAAGGCTCGTTTTCCCCCACAAATTTGCTGGTTTCACAAAGATTTTCCATCAGTTGTGTGTTCGTGGTGAGCGTACCACTTTCGTCTCCATATTTATGAGCATTGCTATGGTCCAAGTATATTGGTGTAACAAATTACAAATTTGAGGTTCAAAATCTGCTTCAAAATAAAATAACTTCTATTGCAATAGTGCGAAACCTGATGCTGTCGGCTTGTATAATAATAGGGGATGACGTGTTTCATATATCGAGCTGAAGATTATCTATCACCGCTTTCCAGACTTTTTCAAATTTTATTTAATATAATTATAACTTTAAGTGCGTAAATGTGTTTTTTTAGACACGCTATGGCGTTGACGATTTGCTACTTATAAGAACCTCTAGCTTCTTATTTGAATTATATATAATAAATCGGGTATTTTTCGTTGGCCCTTATATGCTTTCCCAATTCACAAGAATGCGGTTAGGTAATTATTTGTTATTGTATCCGCATTACTGAAAGCTTTTTGGTTGTCAGTTTAATGAGCACGAGCAATGATTTCCAGCCTAATGAAAAACCAAATTTTCGCTAATCCGTTGTTATGAATTCACGTGGTTCTACTAATCAACAACATTTCTTACAAGTTTATGAACATAGAGTCTCTAGAAAAATACATTCCGGAACAATTTAGTTATAAGCATTTTATTCGATTTTTATGGGGAGAACTTTATGTTACATGCTTTGTATGTATAAAGTATGTTATGTTATGTGGTAAATTGACAGCACATTTGAACCTACGGACATTTGAACCCATACACCCGGGTCATTGGCACCTATATACGTTTGCACCCACAGACATTTGCACCCACGAACATTTGTATCCATACATTTCCACCCATATATTTTAGCACCCGCATATAGATTGAACCCGCGAACATTTGAACCCATGTACATTTGCACTCGCTGACATTTGAATCCATGTACATTATTTGCACTCGCGGACATTTGAACCCATGTACATTTGCACCCATGAACATTTGCACCTACGGACATTTGCACCGATGTACATTTGCAACCATGAACATTTGAACTCACAAACATTTGCACCCATGTACAATTGCACCCACGAACATTTGCACCCATGTACATTTGCACCCATGAACATTTGAACCCACGAACATTTGCACTCGCGGACATTTGAACCCATGTACATTTGCACCCACGGACATTTGAACTCATGAACTTTTGCACCCACGGACATTTGAACCCATGGAAATTTGCACTCACGGACATTTGAACCCATGGACATTTGAACCCATGGATATTCATACCCACGGACATTTGAACCCGGTACATTTGCACCCGCGGACATTTGCTGTCGTGTACATTTCCATTAATGAACTTTTTGTACCCATGCACATCTGTTTCCACGGTTATTTTCCCCCATGATATTCTCACGCATATGCATGTACCTCTGAAACGCACCCAGAGCCATGTTCGCGAATAACCATGTTTCATACAAACTTCAATTACTAACTATAAATATATATTCGAAATGAAGATGGATTACAAATTTATATGTATTCCTTGTTCTTGGTGATAGTCGCTACGTTTTTACTGTCATTGCGAGATATAAATCTTGTCCATTTTATCGGTCATTTTTTTTTTCGATGAATTACCGCAAACGTAGACGATGGGGAAGAAAAGTGGTGATACATGAATTAATCAAGACAGTGTTAAATTAATTGTACAAGACAATTTTGTAACAAGTTGTTTACAGCACTTTTTGCTCTTTGTATTATTGCGCCATAATGGCTTCTATACCAATGCAGATGGTTTTCCTCGGTCTGTGTTAAAAGATGAAAATCCAAATTAATCGCGTTCGGGTTTGCAGTTAGTTCGTCTTCATTACTATACATAGCATTAGGATTTCGCTATTTCGCTATTTCGGCCCAAATGGCAATAGAGCCTCTTTAATTCAAAGAGTGGTTTCCACGGGTGTATATGTTTACGAGGGCCAAATTCCATATTTATTATGAGTCTCTAGAAAAATGCATTCCGGAACAATTCAGTTATAAGCATTTTATTCGATTTCTATTGGGAGAACTTTATGTTACATGCTTTGTATGTATACATATGCACATGTTATATGGTAACTAAAAACACAGAAGAAAGTATCGCAATAATAAAACATGCTGAAAAGTAAATTCAAATAGTTTCTAGCCTTTACTACACATTCAAATTTGCGAGTAAAAAATAAAATATGAAAAGATAATATTTTGAAGAGAAATGTTGAAAAATTGCCCAATACATATTCCATAGAATTGTGTAAAATATAGTGAATTGAACTTTTAATTAAAAAAAAAAACTATATTTCAGCGTTGTTGGTAGACAGATATGTTCATCATAATGTAACCTACGATGAGGAAAAATGCCTATACAAGCTTGTTTTACCCTGGCAAAACGTGGAACTATATTATTTTTTTATAAGCTCTTCAACTACTAGAATGAACTCATATTTCCATTAGTTAAAAATCAAATACATAAGGCTATTTATTATGATTATTTCAGAGCCGTTTAGATTATTGCTACATTATCCTTGCACCAGTACATACGAATTCACTAGCACAAAAACGGAAAGAAAGTAGTACTAGTTAAGTGAACGCAACCTAAGGCTTGATTCCCCACAAATTGCTGATTTCACAAAGATTTCTATCAGTTGTGTGCCCATGGTGGCCGTACTACTTTCATCTCCATATCTCTCAGAATTGCTACGTTTCAAAAATATTGGAGTAACAAATTACAAATTCGAGCTTCAGAAATTTCTGGTTTTAAATTAAAAAAACTTCCAATGCGATATTACGAAACCGGGTGCTGTCGGTTTGTATAACAATAGAGCATGACGTGTTTCATACAACGAACTGAAGATTAATTATCACCGCTTTCCAGACTTTTTTAATATGATTATAACTTTAGGTGCGCAAATGTGGTTTACGCCATGACGTTGAAAATTTACTACTTATAAGTACCTCTAGATTCTTATTTAAATTACATATGATAAATCGGTTTATTTTCGTTGGCCCTGATATGCATTCCCAATTCACATTAATTCGGTCAGTTAATTATTGTTTATCGTATCCGCATTGCTGAAAGCTTTTTGGTTGCAAGTTTAATGAGCACGAGCAATAATTTCCAGCTTAAGGAAAAAACAAATTTTCGCTAATCCGTTGTTATGAATTCACTTGGTTCTATTAATCAACAACATTTCTTACAAGTTTATAAAAATAGAGTCTCTAGAAAAATACATTCCAGAAC